CCGGATTTACCTTGGACGTGATTATTTTTATGAAAAACGGTGGCTATAAGAATGTATTTGGCACGATCATTGGCCCATACTTTATCGATCAAGTAAAGAAAGACGGTAGGACGATTATAGATCTGCAATATATAGAATTAATGGAATTTTTAAAAAATATATATTTTTTATATAAAAATATCTTCGAAATAGCGAAAAAAACGTACGTATTCCTTTCAACGATAGTATCAACAACTTTCTTGGCGGCAATACTGAAAACTTCGACAGTGATCTTCAAATAATGACCTAGATATTTTAAAAAAAAATTTCGGTAAAAAGAATAGCGGTTTAATAAATTTTTTATAAAAATAAAAAATTTGAAGAAAATAAATATAAAAAAAAAATTTTAATGTACCGAATTTTTTAACACACTCTTTGGGGAGAACAACATCCGCAACTTGAGTGCTATTGATCTTATAAATGATGCCATCGACGGGTTTCTTAAATTCAATATTTTTACAAATTTTGTGAAAATCATTTTCGTATTCTTTTTTGTATTCGGTTGAAAAAGAGAATACAATTGGAGCCAAAAGAGCAACGATCAAGAGAATGGTGGCTGAAAATTTCATATTGTTGATTTCTTCAAAGTAATCAAAAAAAAAAAAAGAAGGGTTAAAGTGCTAGTACGAAAAGATTTTTTTTTAAAAAAGGAAAATTATTTCTTCAAGATCACTTTTTTTTTTTTTTTTTCTTTGAAAGAAGTGAAGAGCTTGAAGGTGAAAATTAATCATTTATATACCTTTTTCTTCGCACCAAATTTCTTTTGTTTCTATTTTAACAGTAAAAAAAGGTGAATTTACTTTTTTTCCTTTACTAATATAATTCACGCAAATTTGCTTTTAGATTTTGATCTGATCATTTAAAATTTCAATGAGAGTAACCAAATCGGTCTTGGACCAGAATCCAACAATAACCTCAATCAATGGTTGCGATCAATAATAAACCTTTGGAAGATATATCTCGCATATTATAGCACATTGTCCATATTAAACCGATATAATTTTATAAAATATCGGTCTATTAGAACAATTGAGACAGTCGTAAATAGTAACACCGTAATCTGCTTTTTTGAATCTGAAGATCCATCGAGATCATTGTTACACGAGATTCAATTTTATAACATGGCGGAAAAGGTTGTTATGTTATTTTTAAATTTACCTCCTATATATTTTTACGTAATCACTAAAAATATGTAACTTCAGAAGTAATTAAATTGCATAAACAGCATTTTAAATTCTTCCGTGGTATTTTAAAAATACTTGATTGTTGATTTAAAAATGCCCCTTTCGAAACACACCCTGCATAAATAATTACTAACCACCAAAATAAATTAATCATCACTATCTGGAATTGTTAAATTTATTTAAAAATAAGCTCATCTTACATATAACATATGGACACGCAACTAAAAATACCAACCTTTTAAAGTTAATTCGTGAAGGCTAACTACATCCAAATTTAGCAGATAATTCGAGATCGTGATAAATATAATTACCTGTTCCTTGTAAACTTCTTATCTCAAAGTTTATGAACAAATATAGATTATAAATATAGAATGAAGAAGACTGGATAATAGTAATGAGGTAAAAAAAAAAATAACTGCGCCAAAATTTGAGGGCATGTGATTAAATAAATCGTTTGTTGACGATCACTATTTTCTCGGCGAATATCAAATGTTAGAAATGGTAGCTAATACGATAAATACAGTGTTAATAATGGTTAGCCCGTGTTTATTCCAATTATTTATTCGTTGGCACATTTGGAATGAGGATAAGTCAAAAGGTCTAGTGGTGCAACAACCAGCATTTTTATTTCCGAGAAGCGTTAAAGATGAATATCTCCAATGCTTCGTGTGTTAGGGAGATAAAGCCTACTCCTCAAGAAACAAAATGCTGTAACAGACTTTTCTGTTTAGAGTAATTACAAGTTCAATCTGCCAACTTCGTAGAAAACACCTTTGCATCTCAATTGATCAACTTTATGCTCAGCAATGATTCCATGTCCGAAGATAATTTCAAGCTTTTCACTGCAGCTTGTCCTGATCATCTGATTGATACTCGATGCTATGTTTACAACTAATGAAGAAATTGATCGTTTGATTGATACCAGAGTTTAAATAATGACATCTTAAATTCGTTATCATATATTTTTTTTCTGATGGTTCCAATTGTAATTGTTGTGATTACAAAGTATATTTGTATGAGAAGTAAATGTACAATTCCAGTTGGAACGAGATTTACTTCAGAATTTTCAATTCTGAGGCCAAGCAGAGTTAGCTTTGATATTATCATTAGTATTATGAATAGCAAATGTGATAAAGGTCGTGTATTGTTGGTTTCAGCCCTGATAATTTTTTTTCTTTTTCATGAATGTCCCTTTCTTTTTTTTTAAAAAAAATAAATTTGTTTAAATTTTTATGATATAAAATTTATTCATGTTTGCGAATCTAAATAAAATATTTTTTTTTCCAATTATTCCGCAAGTTGAAGGTTTATATAGTAAATGTAATTAAATGATTAATTCAAAGAAAAAATTAAAAGTCTCAAAGAAATATAACTCTTCTTTTAAAAAAAAAAATTCTTTTAAATATAATTTCTAAATATAATGTATTAAAATTTTCGTATTAACGAATTTCACAACTTTTTCTACACTGGCCTACCATAAATTACCGGATTTTTAGTCACGTGAATCGGCGTTCAGTTTCACAATCGATGATTTTGCCCCATTGTACATATAAACAAAAAAAAAAAAAAAAAAAAATAAATTGTTTTTTGTTTCTCTTCTAGTTTTAAATGCGTGGAAACGAACTGTCAGAAACCCAACGTGAGCGTATTATTGGCGCTTATTTGAGTGGTGTTAGGCAAAATGTTATTTCAGTTCAACTTGATATTCCTACCAGTACAATAAATGATACAATTAAAAGATACAAAGAAACGGGTTCTGCGGCACCTAAAAAACGTCCTGGACGTCCAAAAAACCTCTCTTAACGTGATACTCGGGCTTTACAACGCATAATCCGTACCGATCGGTTTTCTCCCCTTGGTGATATAACAGATAAACTAAACTCTAATTTTAATACAACTTTACATAACAGTACTATTAGAAGGTATCTTCATTATATGGGTCTTGGTAGTTAGTTATTCTACACGTAAAAAACCTCTTTTGACTGAAAAGCAGCGAAATGATGGTTTGAGATGGTGCAAAGAAAAAAGAAACTGGGAAGAAGAATGGAAACAAATGATATGGTCGGATGAGTCAAGATTTGCTCTTTTTGAGTCAGATGGCCGAATAAGAGTATGGAGAAATCCTGGAGAAGCATATAATAACAATTGTATTCAACCTACAGTTAAATTTGGTGGAGGATCGGTAATGTTTTGGGGTTGTTTTGGTTAGCATGGAGTTGGACCTTTAGTTGTGATAGATGGGAATATGGATTCTGATAGTTATATCAATATTTTAGCTAATCATTTTATACAATGGGTTAGTAATTATCCCAATTCTATATTTCAGCAAGATGGAGCCTCATGTCACACATCAAATTATAATGTTTGGTGGATGAGAATGCATAATATTCCAGTATTAGATTGGGTGGCACAAAGTCCGGATCTCAATCCAATTGAGAATTTGTGAAATTATTTAGACTATCAATCTGAAGAAGAAAGCCTTTACCTAAATCTAAACAAGAGTAAATTAAAGCGATACAAGAGGAATGGAGAAGAATTAGCATTGAAACAATTCTTTACTTAATTTTAAGCTTACCCAATTGTATCAAACAAGTAATTAAAGCTAAAGGCGGACATACTAAATATTAATTTTATTTAGATTAAATTTTTCGAATAATAAATTTTGTATTTGGTATTTTATTTTATTTTAAAAAAAAATTCAGTTAAAAAATTTTTTTATTTTATAGTAAAAAAATCCAGTAATTTATGGTAGGCCAGTGTATTAAAAAATGTTACTACTTTTTTCTTATGAATAGTTTTACCACGAAAAAAAACAATAAAAATTGCTTGTGAAATACGAAATGTATGGGTAACCAAACCTTTATATTAACTAAATTTAAACTTTAAAAAAAAGATGAAAATTCATTTTTGGGTCACCGCAAATTTGTTTTCGTTCATTTCAAAAAACTTTTTATACTGTAAAATAAAATAAAATTTGAAAGTCAAACGAAATAAACAAATTTGAATGAAAATTGAATTTCGTCAACCAATTGGCGCAGCATGCATTTTATGGTAAATTGGGAATTTACAAATCACGTGGATTACTATGCATTATAATTCTGAACTCTGAAATTTTTAATTAAAAGAAAAATGTTTACCTAAAAATGGTCATAAATTAAATTTTATGTAAAGAAATGTCTGAAATATCAGAAATTTCAGATAACCCTGATATATTATCCGCTTACTAATTGTTTGTCCGTGATGTTTTATATTAATATTTTATCAGATTCACTATCAGAGTTGAATTTTCTATGAAAATATCAATATGACGCAATTACTGTGATATATCAAACAAAAATCGTATCACAAAAAGTTTAATATAATTTTAATAAGATTGATATATAAAAAGCATTTAAAAATATTATAATACAAGTATTATTTATAATTATAAATAAAAATTATTTAAAGTAAAGTTAACATTTGAAAGTGACAATTATTAAACTTCGAAGCCTCCTTTTTACTACTTTTATTGAAAGGTATATTAATTGGTAAATCTTGTGATCCAAGATTTGTAATTTGAGAAGTTTGTAATGATTTTTTATTGTAATCTTGAATTTGTTGCACAGGTTCATAAATTTCTTGATTAATATTTTGAACTTGATTTTGAGATTCTTGGTTCTTTATATTATAAGTAGAAATAAGTTGCTGCAAGGTATTCATTTTTTGTTGATAATTTGGCACTTTATATTTTCGTACTGCATCAACACTTCGATGTCCAGTAATATTCATAATAATTTGTTATTCTACATTTATATCTTGCATTAGTTGTGCTGATATTTTTCGCCCAGAATGATTAGTTAATAAGCCATCAATTTCAATACCAGTTTCATGAATAAGATCCTTCATAAATTTAGATAGTGAATTCTTACCAATATGTTGCTTTACAATACCAGTTTTTAGTTTCTTTCCCTAATAAATTATAAGTTTGTAAAATTTATAAAATTGTTATAAAATAAATATAATTAACTTACATTTTGGATCTTTTTATAAATAAAAATTTGAAACTGCATCTAATGGTCTTTTTTTTAAAATATAATTGATAATTATAGCATGGTCCTTGAGAATTAAATGAATCAGCAGAAATTGGAATCTTTTATGTTATGCCTCCTGTTATTCCTCTTTGATTATTTTTTGCATGAAATCTTTGAAAATCAATTTCACCATCATCTCAAAAATTATATTGATCAACTGTTAACTGATAATGCTCACCACCTCAACAAGCTAAAAGAAGGGTATTATGAAAAAATATTTTTTTAATGAGTGTATCAGGAGTTAATGTTGATGTTGCTGAATTTGATAAAATATTTGCAATGTTTATCAAGTTAAAGCAGCAGATCCTTTTATTTCTCCAAGTCCTTTATCTTATAATTCTTTTATTTTACCATTAAGAACTCTTATTAATATAGGAAATTAATGATAATCACATAAATTGATTCTATAAATAGTTAAAAGTTCTATTAAATATCGATTAATCCCATTGATAATGCTCTATATTTAGTTCCATCTTTTTTTTTCATAGTAGCAATAAAACCTGCCACCTGATTTTCTAATATAGATATATTTGAAATAAGATTTAATAGAATCTTATATTAATCATCTTGTAAATAAGATTCAATCATATTTTTTCAAAATTTTTTAAAGAGTTTAAGCTAGTTTTTTATTACCCTTTCTGTATTTTGAACTCGTGACTTATTTTGATAAAATAAAATTGCCTTTTTAATGTTAGTATTTTTATATAGGCTCTTTGCAATAGAAAGGGAGAAAACTACTAAAAAAATTTTTTTTTGCTTTATAAGCTAAATATTATTTTTTTAATAAAATAAGTTCAAATTTAACATTAACTCAAAAAAATTTTTTTGGTAGTTTCCTCCCTTTCTATTGCAAAAAGTCCATATGTTTTAGATTGTAAACTTAAATTGTTTAAAACTTCACGAGCAGTATTAAATTTTATGGTTTTCTTTAATTTCATTTTTGAGAAATAAAATTAAAAAAAAAATTTAAAAAAAAATTATTTATGATATAAAAAAATACTATTTTTATGTCATAATAACATATGAATTACATAATTCATGTGATTTTTCTTATTATAGATGTTAGTAATCAGAAAATATATAGTTATTTACCGCTCAATTACCAACATTATTAGAATCACAGCTACACTATGACATCTAATGATATCTCTGATTTTGCAGTAAATAACTAATACATATTAAATATTTATATCAAATGATTAGAAAAATCAATCTCTGATAAATATTTCATCCATTATAAATATCTGAACTTTGATAATAAACAACTAATCAGGAATTGCTCATTTAAAAATATTATGCGTGCAAATTAGAAAAATCTAGACTGTTATTTGCTTTGAAATCTTTTAATAATAATACAATAACTTTGAAAGAAGTTGTAAATGAGGTAAATAATTATAATAATTTAAAGTTTGTTAATAAGATTTAAAATTAATTTATATCAAATTATAGATAAAATTACATAAAAGAGTTAATTCTCATCCAAATATTATTTAGTTTTATAGTATTATAAGGGAAAAAACTGGTATATATTAGGAACATAATTCAAATTTTTGATAAATATATTAATTATATTTCTTTATTTTTTCTTTTTTTCCTTTTTTATAGAATAGCAAACTTGAACTATCTAATTAACAAGTATTCTTTAGTTCTGGAATATGCTGTTGATGAAATATTAAATGCTTATTTAAATAATCATTTTAATGAACTTAAGTAGAATGACAAATATCAACTAGCTTTATAATTAGAAATACATACATAATTGTGATATTATTTATTGTGATCTAATAATTAAACATTTTTTTTTATAAATCAATTTTTTATTTATTATATTGACTTAAATAATTAAATATTTGATCATTAATAAAATTATAGCATGCAGATAATATTCTTGTACATTAGAAAATGATTAAATTAGCAGATTTTGGTTTATCAAAAAAAATTGCTGAATAATCAAGAATTGCATTAAAAGTTTTTAGCATATTATCTTATATAGATCTAAAATATTTAGATAAAAATAAGGATTACAAATTTGAGAAAAAATCTGATGTCTATAGTATTAGAGTCTTGATGTAGCAAATGTCAAGTGGATATCAACTGTTTAAAGATATTAATGCTAACGTTTTAATTTTTTCTATATTAAATAGCAAAAAAAAAAAAATTATTAATAGAATACTACTTGAATATAGTAATTTATATCAAGATAATAATATAAATAATAATTTTTATTATAAAATAAATCTTAATCCTTATTTATTCAATAAAATATTGGAAGTACAAAACTGATGAGCATCTAAAAATGCAAAATTCGTTTTAATTCTTAAATAATTATAACTCTTAAATATGGTAAAATAATTGATATTAATCTTATTAAAGAAATTAAATTACAAATGAAAGGTAAATTTAGCCTTAAATCAAGTAAAGAAATAGATGAGGATTTAGAATTATCTGAAGATTTTATTTATTATTATTTTATTAATAAAAGTAATTTAAGTTTGCAAAATGCAAATTTCTCTTAATCTAATATAATAATTAATAAAATAAGTCTTAAATTAAGTAAAAAAAAAAAGAACAATTTAGAGAATTTAGAAGTAACTGAGGATTCAAATCTTTATAAAAATGTTAATATAAATATTTCTAGTATACGAAGTAAAATATCTATTTGATCAAATATAACAAATTTTAAAAATCACTTAATTTTAATTTTTCAAGTAAATAATTCATCAAAAAACTCAACTGATTTAATATTTATAAATTATATAACTGTTAATAAATTAATTAAATTTGTAATTAAAAAATATAATAGAGGAATTACTTATAATCAAATTAACCATTTTATTAAGCAAAATGTATTACAATTAAATCAAATCAAAAATTTTTTAGATTGGCTAAGAAAGCAGTAAATTCATAATACAAATAGTTGCTTAGTTTATTTTATTGTTTCAATATTAGTATAGATGCTCTATAAGAAATTTGTATACAGAATATATATAAAAATAATATATTTTTGATATTTATAAATAATGTATAATATATACATAATTATTATGTATAAAAGATAAGAAAAAAGACAGAATTACAGATATATAAAAATACGTAAATTAAGTATATTATATACGTAATTCATATATGCAAAGTTACATATATTATATACATTTTATTAATATATTTATACATAATTTATATATGTAATTTTTATATAATTTATATATAATTAATTTCTCGTAATATTACTAAATTTATAATTTATTAATATATAATTTAAAATTACTTTAATTTAAATTTATTTATTCATTTATTTATTAAATAAAATATAATATAGATAATAAAATACAAATATTTTATAATAATAAAGATACTATTTAATATAATAATAATATAAAATATATAAAAAGAAATACAATAAGTAATATTTAAAATATTATATTAAAAAAGAAAGTTACTAATATTAGTAATATATAAAATATCAAAAAAAGATAGTAATATTAGTAATATAAAAAAATAAATAAATATAATTAATAAACTATTAGTAGTTAATAATATTAGAAAATAATATTTAAAAAAGTAAATATACTTGATAAAAGGAGAGAAAAAAGAAAAAAGAGAGAATGTAAAAAATCAAAAAAAATAAAAATTTTTTTTTCAGTATTCAATATACCAGAAAAATCATATGGCAAAAGAGCGATATGCATGAGTTATATAAATTTTTACTTATGTTGATACTATTATTGGAAAGATCTTGACTGACTTAATTATCAATCCTAATCCTATCGATATATCAGTCTAAGGATTACCACCTAGACGACCTTTCAGAAGCAAAGCCTTTAGGATTACTAGACCTTAGAACTGACTATTAAATTTGAATAGAGGAATCACTTTTAATTACAGGTATTTTTAGTTGATAATATTTTCTGTCTTTACTAATACCAATCAGAATTACTATTACCTTTGATCAAAAAAAAATAAACAAAAAAATAAATAAAAAATTGATAACGATAATAGCTATTTTTAGACAATTAAGTGTAATGTAAACTAATTACATAATTAGACAATTTATAAGAATATGTAAACAATCAAAAATATAAAACAAAAATTGTAACAGACAGGTGGAAGGAAGGAAAAATAAAGTATTTTTTTTGCAAACTTTTATGAAATTCAAAGTGAACTTTACCCTTAATAAAAGTTTTAAAATTATCATTAATTATTATAATTAAAAAGCACATTTGAAAATGAATAAAATTTTGCATGAAAAACTGTAATTGTAATATTTAATTATTATATAAATTACTGTTTTATGTAATCTTAAAAATACAATAAAAATCAATAAAAAAATTTTTTTTAATTTATTTAAAGAAAATTAATTATAATAAAACAAAATAATAACTTTTAAATACTTTTATTTGATACATTTTTTTTACAAAGTGTGATAATTTCATGATATATATTTATATTGATACAGTATTTAATAAATTACACAAATAAATATTAAAAAAAATTTGAGAATTAATATAGTTATGAAAAATTATTACTCAACAAATATTAAATCACTCGATATGAAAATTTATATATAAGTATTTTTGGATATATAGAAAATTTTTATTTAATACATAGTAAGAAGTTTACTTTAACTAAAGTGATCAAATTATCCTGTGAAGTTAAAAAAAAAGGTTCACACTATTAATAAAGCTACAAAAATATATATTACAATATGAATATTAATCTAATCAAGATTAAATTTTATATACAAATAGTATCGCACCTGTTGAACAACTTTTATTTAGAAATAAAAAGTGATTACTTTGACTAAAGTGTTCAAATTTCTTTGTGAAATCAAAAAAATGTGACTTATTTAGTAAAGTTATAAAAAAATTATTTCTACACAAATATTAATTCCAGTCAATATAAAACATTAGATATAAATATTATTGAATATGCTAAACAACTTTTACTTAGAGATAAAAGGTAATTGATTTTGATTAAAG